CAATGAACGTTGCGATAAATAAAAATCTTAAAAAAAGACGTTAAACTTTTTTTACTATAAGTACTTATTTCAGTTTTATTTTCTTTATGATTAAAGTAAAAGAATGATAAGTTACTTGATGCAATTAATATACTTAATGCTACTGTCTTTTCTTGAGAAAATCACCATGCAGATTTTATAGGGAAAATTTCTTGGATACTATTCTTTAACAATTTATTATCCCAACTAATCTCTAGATAAAACTGAATGAATCGATACATACATAAAAATTAAGTAAATAAATAAAGTATTGTGAATGAAAGATGTTGCCTTCTGTGTCTGTAAAGAAAGGATGCTGGAGCCATCAAGCCACTATGTCTACTGAAGGTGAGCCCTGAGGGAACTCAGGGTGGAAGGAAACCAGTTGCTGATGGCCAAGCCCTCAGACACTGCAACCACCCGCAACAGTGCACCCTGAAGGGTTTCAGGATGGAAGAACACAGGATACAGGCTCTGGATAGTTAAGGTGCACATCAGAGGAAGGATTTCAATTAGCACAGACTTTTGAATCTTCCCATACACAGAAAAGCACTGAAGGCATTAACTTGAGATGTCTGTTTTTCTTTAGTTAACAGCAATTTTTCAAAGTTCTGACTACTGGATCTTTGTGACAAAAACTCCTATATATGCAGGCTTCCCCCCAACTTCTTCAAAGCAGTCTTTTGGAGTTTTCTGAGGCTACATCCTGGGCTTAATTCCTCAGGTTTGTCATCCAACTAAAATATAATTCTGAACATTCAGGTTGTGCATTTTTTTTCAGTTGACAATATAAAAATAAACAAGGCATTTTTGAGACTTGTAAAAGTTAAATAAAATTGCAATGTCTATGATCTTGGAAATTATACTTGTTTTTTACTATGAAGATACTATTTACTGAGTTATGCTCCCCCAAAATTCACACACTGAGTCCATAACTTCCAACATGACTATATTTGGAGATCAGGCTTCTAAGAGGTAATTAGAGTTAAGTGATGTCACAATCCTATTCTGATAAGATTGGTGGTTTAATAAGAAGAGGAAAAGAGATAGCTTTTTCTTTCCTCAAGCAAGCATCAAGAAAGCAGCCACCAGCAGTCCAGAAAGAGTGTTCTTACCAGAACCCAATCATTCTGGAACCATGATTTCGATTATCAGCATTTGACATGGTGAGAAAATAAATTTCTGTAGTTTAAGCTACCTAGCCTATGGAATTTTTTTTTTAATGGCAGTCAGAACAGATTAAGATGAAAGATGCTTTAAAAAATTTACTTTTGTCAACTACAGCACAGAGACATGTAAAATTGAGAGGCTATTTCTGAAAAAGAGGTAGTTTAGATTCCAATAAAAATAAAATGTATCAAATAACAAGTGATGCTATAGTTTCTCAGAAATATGTGATGTTAAAAATAAGTAGCTGTTTTGAAACAGCTTAATTAACAGATTAATGTTCCTAGAATTTATTTGTGGACAAATTAATCTACAACTTCAAAATTATATCATGCGTGTGTGCTGAGTTGCTTCAGGTTTGTCCAGCTCTTTGTCACCCCATGGACTATAGCCAGCCAGGTTCATCTGTCCATGGGATTCTCCAGTCTAGAATACTGAAGTGGTTTGCCGTACTCTCCTTCAGAGGATCTTCCCAACCTAGGGATTGAAAATGCATCTCCTATTTCTCCTGCATTGGCAGGTGGGTTCTTTACCACTAGTGCAATCTGGGAAGCCCTCAAAATTATATACTGGGGACTAAAAGTAACAAGGCAAACTCACAACTTGCAAAGCATTGATAGTATGTGTGAAATATTGTGTATGCTAAATTATGTACAAAGGCACATGGTAATCTGTAAGAGTAGAACAAAGTCTGAGCTGCACAGTTGTTGGAGGGATTAGCTTGTAATGTTGCTGGACATAGTTTATAGTTTCTTTATAAAAAATGGAAATTAAAAATTAAGTACATACGGATTCCACAGCGGCTGTCTACAGTGTATGATGCTTCCCCTGCCCCCTCCCCCCAACAATTTCAAAACATCAGTAATATAGGTGTTCACATTGTATTCTCCTCTAGGTCTAGACCCAAGATTAACCGAAACGTTGGGAGAAATTTATAATTAAATGCACGACTGAAATGTCAGTTTAGACTGAAATGTATTTCACATTTTGGTCATAACTTTTCTTCCAAGGAGTAAGCGTCTTTTAATTTCATGGCTGCAACCACCATCTGTAATGATTTTGGAGCCCCCCAAGATAAAGTCTGTCACTGTTTCCATTGTTTCCCCATCTATTTGCCATGACGTGATGGGACCAGGTGTTACAATCTTAGTTTCCTGAATGTTGAGTTTTAAGACAATTTTTTCACTCTCCTCTTTCAGTTTCATCAAGAGGCTCTTTAGTTCTTCTTCACTTTCTGCCATAAGGTTGATGTCATCTGCGCATCTGAGGTTATTGATATTTCTCCTGGAAATCTTGATTCCAGCTTGTGCTTCTTTCAGCCCAGCATTTTTCATGATGTACTCTTCATATAAGTTAAATAAGCAGGGTGACAATATAAACCTTGACATACTCCTTTTCCTATTTGTAACCAGTCTGTTGTTTCATGTCTGGTTCTCTTGCTTCCTGACCTGCATACAGATTTCTCAAGAGGCAGGTCAGGTGGTCTGCTTGAAAGAGATTCCCATCTCTTTCAGAATTTTCCACAGGATGGTTGATATATACAGTTAAATGTTTTTGCATAGTCAATAATGCAGACATAGATGTTTTTCTGGTATTCTTTTGCTTTTTTGATAATCCAACGGATGTTGGCAATTTGATATCTGGTTCCTCTGCTTTTTCTAAAACCAGCTTGAACATCTGGAAATTCTTGGTTCACATACTGTTGAAGCCTGGTTTGGAGAATTTTGAGTATTACTTTGCTAGCAAGTGAGATGAGTGCAATTGTGTGGTAGTTTGAGTATTCTTTGGCATTGATTTCTTAGGAATTGGAATGAAAACTGGCCTTTTCCAATTCTGTGGCCACTGCTGAGTTTTCAAAATTTGCTGGCATATTGAGTATAACACTTACAGGATCATCTTTTAGGATTTGAAATAGCTCAACTGGAGTTCCATCACCTCCACTAGCTTTGTTCATAGTGATGCTTCCAAAGGCCCACTTGACTTCCCATTCCAGGATGTTTGGCTCTAGGTGAGTGATCATACCGTCATGATTATCTGGGTCATGAAGATCTTTTTTGAAAAGTTCTGTGTATTCTTGCCACCTCTTCTTATAATATTCTGCTTCTGTTAGGGCCATATAATTTCTGTCCTTTATTGAGCCCATATTTTTATGAAATGATCCCTTGGTATCTCTAAATTTCTTGAAGAGATATCTAGTCTTTCCCATTCTATTGTTTTCCTCTATTTCTTTGCACTGATCACTGAGGAAAGCTTTCTTATCTCTCCTTGCTATTCTTTGGAATTCTGCATTCAAATAGTTATATCTTTCCTTTTCTTCTTTGCTTTTCACTTCTCATCTTTTCAAAGCTATTTGTAAGCTATGACAATCTCCTCAGACAACTAATTTGCTTTTTTGCCTTTCTTTTTCTTGGGGATGGTCTTTTTCTTTTTTTTGGGGGGGGGAGGGGCCTCCATTGCCACTTTATTTGACTTCAGTCATGACTATAGAGCTCATTTTCCACGTTTAACAAGGAACAGAGCTGACTCATTGGAAAAGACCCTGATGCTGGGAAAGACTGAAGGCGGGAGAGGGGGATGACAGAGGATGAGATGGTTGGATGGTATCGCTGACTTGATGGACATGAGTTTGAGCAAGCTTTGGGAGTTGGTGACCGACATGGAAGCCTGGCGTGCAGCAGTCCATGGGGTCACAAAGTTAGATACAACTGATCAACTGGAAAACAACCTTCGGGTATGTGCAAAGGTGCTGTGAACACCCGCTGCCCCCCAGGGGATGTAGCCCAGCAGGGCTGTGTCAAGACAGACTTTGGGAAAGCTTGTCAGTGCTTCCAGAAACACCTGCCCTGTGTGGCCATGAGGAAGGCTGAAAGGGAAGTGTTTTTAGAGACAGGAAGTGGGGTCACCTACCATGAAAATGGAAGAGAGATAGATACTTTTGAATTCTTCCATGTTTCAACACTCAAGCAGCAATGGGTCTACAACGCAAGCTGGAAAAATAGATTAATCCATAAATTCCAAGTTTTGATAGAAAAGTCTTCTCTTAAATAACTTAAAACATACAGACACCCATGCACTCCCAGCTTAAAACTATTCAAAAGTTACAAAATTTATAAATAAATCACAGGCAAGCTCTGAATTATATGTACCACGAATTCACTCCAGACACAGACCAAAATACCATGAAAGCTGATTCACACGCAACTGATTTAAATACTAGATGACACGTGACAAACGATACCAGCAGGAGATGCAAGCGATGACCTAACTGCACAAGGTGAAGTAACTTCAATAAAAACTGTTGGGTTGCATCACACCTCGAGTCTCCAAGTGCCAGGGCCCAGTTTATGCGGTCATGGCCCTTGGTGCAGGTGGACGGTCAGTACAGTGGCTGCAGGACATGACACTGTCCACTGCCCCGATGGGGTTGGGAATTTTTCTCTGGAGTCAGGACCTGCAAGTCCCGCCAGCTCCACCCTCTGGCTCCTTGGCATCAGCCTGGGAGAGGAAGGTAACTGAACAGGCCCCATGCCCCATGGGGCTGCCTGGACACGATGCTGGTTCCAGACACAGAACAAGATGCCCTTGGGTGGGCATGGACTGGTTCCTGGGCTTAGGAGTCATCCACCGCTGCTAGGCATCTTCTGGGAGCCTGCTGTCACCAGGTAAACCGGGTCCTCTCGAGAGCCAGCCTCATGCTAAGGACCATGCAGAAGCTGTCAGCTTTGCCAGCGGAAGGCCGATGGGAGGCCTTCCAGCACCGCCTCTGGCGGGGTCGAGACCCTGGCGTCCTGTGGGCGCGTGGGCCAGCTCGGCCATCAGGGGATGCCCTCTTTCCTCTGACAGCACTGCGAGGGCGATGCTGACCAGTCATAGACATAGGACAGGCGCAGCTGCACCTTGCGCTTGCACAGGCGGCCCTTGTGCGTCAGTGTCCGGTGTTTCTCCAGCATGTCCTCCAGGCTCTGCTTGTGCGTCACCAGGTACTGGTTATTGCAGCCGCGGGACTTGTACTCGATGTCAAAGCGTGGGTCGTGCTCTTGCTGCAAGTCCACTGGCGCCAGCCAGGCGCCCAACGATACATCCTCGCTGTGCCAGGCACGCAGGTACTCGCGGCTGAGGCGCAAGTAGCGCACCAGGTCGGCAGAAAGCACGTAGCCACCGCCAAGCGCGTAAGGTAGGTAGTGGTCATACAGCTGCCAGGCGACCTCACGCCAGTGGCCCCCGGGCCGGACACGGCCACGGCCGGAGAAGAAGCCGTGGAGAGAGGCGGCGGCGGCGGGCAGGGTCGTTGGCGCGCAGTTCGGCCAGTACTGCGTCCAGGCGCGCGAACGAGTCGTCGTCCGCCTTGAGCACGAATTCGAAGGCCACGTGTTCATCTAGCCAGGCCAGCATGGCCAGCACTTTGGCCGTGAGGTTCTGGTACGCGTCACGTACCCCGGGCAGCAGCAGCAGGTCGCCATGCTGAGGCTGCTCCTGCTCCAGGGCGCGCCGTTCTTCATCGCCCAGCCCACTGGTGCCCACGGCGAAACGCGCCCGCATGTCCCGGGGGCCGCAGCGCCGCGCCGCCAGCCACGTGCTGCGTACCACGCTGCACTACTCGGCCACCCGTGGAGCGCTGGCCACCAGCACGGCCAGGAAGGCGGCAGCGCGCGCTGGGCCAACGGGCGCCGGTGTGGCAGGGCCGGCGAGCGCGGGGTCGGGAGGCGCGGCGCACCGTGCCAGGTAGAGCAGCGCAACACCGCCCAGTGCCAGGCCGCCCAGGCCCAGCGCTGTCCGGTGTCGCCACGCGCGCCGCAGCAGCTTCATTGCGCGGGGAGCGCCGCGGACCGAGGCTGCGCGTGGGAAGGGCCGGGGCCGCGCGGTGCCCTTGGGGATGGTCTTGATCCCGGTCTCCTGTACAATGTCATGAACCTCCATCCATAGTTCATCAGGCACTCTGTCTATCAGATCTAATCCCTTAAATCTATTTCTAACTTCAACTGTATCATCATAAGGGACTTGATTTAGGACATACCTGAATGATCTAGTGGTTTTCCCTACTTTCTTCAATTCCAGTCTGAATTTGTCAATAAGAAGTTCATGATCTGAGTCACAGTCAGCTTCCAGTCTTGTTTTTGCTGACTTGTATAGAGCTTCTCCATCTTTGGCTGCAAAGAATATGATCGATCTGATTTCAGTGTTTGCCATCTGTTGATGTCCATGTGTATAATCTTCTCTTGTGTTGTTGGAAGAGAGTGTTTGCTATGACAAGTACATTCTCTTGGCAAAACTGTTAGCCTTTGCCCTGCTTCATTCTGTACTCCAAAGCTTAATTTGCCTTTTACTCCTGGTGATTTCTGACTTCCTATTTTTGTATTCCAGTCCCCTATAATGAAAAGGACATCTTTTTGGGGTGTTAATTCTAGAAGGTCTTGTAGGTGTTCATAGAATCATTCAATTTCAGCTTCTTCAGGATCTGGTTGGGGCATAGACTTGGATTACCATCATATTAAATGGTTTGCCTTGGAAAAAACAGAGATCATTCTGTTGTTTTTCAGATTGGATCTAAGCACTGCATTTCTGAATCTTTTGCTGACTATGATGGTTACTTCATTTCTTCTAAGGGATTCTTGCCCATAGTAGTAGATATAATGGTCATCTGAGTTAAATTCACCCATTCCAGTTCGCCAAAATGTTGATATTCACTCTTGCCATCTCCTGTCTGACCACTTCCAATTTGCCTTGATTCACAGACTTAACATTCCAGGTTCCTATGTAATATTGCTTTTAACAGCATTGGACTTTGCTTCTATCACCAGTCACATCCACAACTAGGTGTTGTTTTTGCCTGGCTCTGTCTCTTCATTCTTTCTGGAAAATCACTGCAGATGCTGACTGCAACCATGGAATTAAAAGATGCTTACTCCTTGGAAGAAAAGTTATAAACAGCAGAGACAGCATATTAAAAAGCAGAGACATTACTTCGCTAACAAATGTCCATCTAGTCAAGGCTATGGTTTCTCCAGTAGTCCTCTATGGATGTGAGAGTTGGACTATAAAGAAAGCTGAGCACTGAAGATTTGATGCTTTTGAACTGTGGTGTTGGAGAGACTCTTGAGAGTCCCTTGGACTGCAAGGAGACCCAACCAGTCCATCCCAAAGCAAATCAGTCCTAAATATTCATTGGAAAGATTGATGTTGAAACTGAAACTCCAATACTTTGACCACCTGATGTGAAGAACTGACTCATTTGAGAAGACCCTGATGCTGGGAAAGATCAACGGTGAGAGGGGAAGGGGACAACAGAGGCGATAGTTGGATGGCATCACCGACACATGGTTATGAGTTTGAGTAAACTCTGTGAGTTGGTGATGGACAGGGAGGTATGAGTGCTGCAGTCCATGGGGTCGCAAACCGTTGGACACGACTGAGTGATGAAACTGAACTGAGTCTTTCCCTTACCTGAAGATAACATTGAACTTCAGCTAAATCTATTAGAAAACTATGAAACCATGTAACCTGTGTGATCTACAGGCAAGAGTTCAGAAAGGGAATTTTGATAAAAATGGTGTAAAGACCCTGGCGGGAGACAAGTGATTAAAGATATAATTATTAGATTGTCTGTTAGCCTGTTTACTGAAGGTGTGATTGTCTGAGCACTGAAGAATTGATGCTTTTGAACTGTGATGTTGGAGAAGACTCTTAAGAGTCCCTTGGCCTGCAAGGAGATCCAATCAGTCCATCTAAAGGAGATCAGTCCTGGGTGTTCATTGGAAGGGCTGATGTTGAAGCTGAAACTCCAAACTTTGGCCACCTTTTGCAAAGGGCTGACTCATTTGAAAAGACCCTGATGCTGGGAAAGATTGAGGGCGGGAGGTGAAGAGGACAACAGAGGATAAGATGGTTGGATGGCATCACCAACTCAATGGACATGGGTTTGGGTGAACTCCGGGAGTTGGTGATGGACAGGGAGGCCTGGCTGCTGTGGTTCATGGGGTCACAAAGAGTCGGACACGACTGAGTGACGGAACTGAACTGAACTGTGACATCCTTGTTTCCAGATATAGCAGGAAATATTCCATTCCTCAGAATGAAAGTTTGTGTGTATGAATCTAGTATTTTTAGAGTACTTTATGTAGGTAATACTCGAGGTCTCTATCATCATAATAGTAGTGTACTTATCTATATTTGTGTCTATGTGAAGGCCTTTTATAAAATATTTTCCCCAAACTATATTTGGTTATTGAATTATTGACAACAAGGAAAAATGATGAGTAAATGATTGGGGGACAAAGTTCAACATGGGACTATTCTTAAATACTTGCTTCACTGTATGCTGAAGGTAAGAGTTTCCTGAAATAAAACTTATAATAGAGCCTGTTTACTGAAGGTGTGATTACTTTCTTTATAGTCCAGCTCTCACTTCCATACATGACCAATGGAAAAACCATAGCCTTGACCAGATGGACCTTTGTTGGCAAAGTAGTGTCTCTGCTTTTTAATATATTATCTAGGTTGGTCATAACTTTCCTTCCAAGGAGTAAGTGTCTTTAAATTTCATGTCTGTAATCACCATCTGCAGTGATTTTGGAGCCCAGAAAAATAAAGTCAGCCACTGTTTCCACTGTTTCCCTATCTATTTGCCATGAAATGATTGGATCAGATGCCATGATCTTAGTTTTCTGAATGTTGAACTTTAAGCTAACTTTTTCACTCTCCTCTTTCACTTTCACCAAAAGACTCTTTAGTTCTTCTTCACTTTCTGCCATAAGGGTGGCATCATCTGCATATCTGATGTTATTGATATTTCTCCAGGCAATCTTGATTCCAGCTTGTGCTTCATCCAGCCCAGCATTTCTCATGATGTACTCTGCATATAAGTTAAATAAGCAGGGTGACAATATACAACCTTGACGTACTCCTTTCCCCACTTGGATCCAGTCTGCTGTTCCATGTCTAGTTCTAACTGTTGTTTCCTGGCCTGTATACAGGTTTCTCAAGAGGCAGGTCAGGTGGTCTGGTATTCCCATCTCTTTCAGAATTTTCCACAGTTTGTTGTGATCCACACAGTCAAAGGCTTTGGTATAGTCGGTAAAGCAGAAACCAATGCTTTTTCTGGAACTCTCTTGTTTTTTCGATGATCCAGCAGATGTTGGCAATTTGATCTCTGGTTCCTCTGCCTTTTCTAAAACCAGCTTGAACATCTGGAAGTTCAAGGTTCATGTGCTGCTGAAGCCTGGCTTGGAGAATTTTGAGCATTACTTTACTAGCGTGTGAGATGAGAGCAATTGTGCAATAATTTGAGCATTCTTTGGGATTGTCTTTCTTAGGGATTGCAATGAAAATGGACCTTTTCCAGTCCTGTGGCCACTGCTGAGTTTTCCAGATTTGCTGGCATATTGAGTGCAGCACTTTCACAGCATCATCTTTCAGGATTTGAAATAGCTCAACTGGAGTTCCATCACCTCTACACCTTTGTTCGTAATGATGCTTTCTAAGGCCCACTTGACTTCACATTCCAGGATGTCTGGCTCTAGGTGAGTGATCACACCATCGTGATTATCTGGGTCGTGAAGATCTTTTTTGTATAGTTCTTCTGGATATTCTTGCCACCTCTTCTTAATATTTTCTGCTTCTGTTAGGTCCATACCATTTCTGTCCTTTATCGAGCCCATCTTTTCATGAAACATTCCCTTGATATCGCTAATTTTCTTGAAGAGATCTCTAGTCTTTCCCATTCTATTGTTTTCCTTTATTTCTTTGCATTGATTGCTGACGAAGGCTTTCTTAGCTCTCCTTCCTATTCTTTGGAACTCTGCATTCAAATGAGAACCCCATGAACATTAGGAAAATGCTATCACAATCATCAGAAATTCTGGCCCTCCAAATGTGAATTCCTGAGATCCAAGGGCACTCAGAAGGAGAATACCTGTGAGATCTGCCAGCCATCAGTCTGCAGTCATTCCCTACAGTGAGCACTGAGGAACTCAGGATGTGAAAAATGAAGGATACTGGCCCAAGATAGCTGAGATGCATATGGAAGGAATGATTTCAGTGAGCTCAGACTCTTGCATCTTCCTATACATAAAAAAGTACTAAATTCCTTAACTTGAGGTATCTGATTTTCTTTAATTAACAATAATCTTTTGATGTTTAGACTACCTGCCCTTTGTTTTAAATATAGCCTGTTCCCCTCCTTGTCTCCTCTGAGCAGTTCTCTCAGGGTTACTTGAAATGTTGCCTCTGGGTTTAAGTCCTAAAATTTTCTTTCAGATAAGAAATAAGTTTCAACTTTTAGATTGCAACTATTTTTTAAGTCTATGACACTATCACAGAATTTCTTGAAAAACAAGAACTAGAAATATAAATAATTCAAAACTATTATCATTACATCAAGGAAAGTGAATTAAGTAACTCACTTAATAATAAGTTAACAAAAGAAGGCTTATTGCTCACAAGAAATTGGAAAGTCTTAAAAATTTTGTAGTTGTAAACAATAAAAAGTAATCAATGTCTGATGGAAAATTACCATCAATAAAATTTGAATTATTCTTCATCTACTTATCACATATTAACTTAAACACCAAAAAATTAAAAATTAAAGCAAATTAAATTATTTTCATATGACTCAGTAAAAATAATTTAATGAAACACAAAAGGTTTGTATTCCCACTTTGTTTAATACAGGTTACAATTTTTATATACTAGAAAATTATGACTAAACACCATTAATGTATTCTGGGTTTACTACCTTCAAGAATTAGATTTAATGTCAGAGTTCATAGGTAAAATTCTTGCTGTGTTAAATAATTTCTATGCCTCTCTGT